ATATATATATATATATATATATATATATATATCTGTTAAAGTTTATTATTTATATTTCATTAGTGCTGTCGTTGTAGTGCTCTGTAGATGGGCAATTCCATTTATGCATTTAGGTCTTTTTTATTCGTCATGTCTGTTATTCTTGATATTTTTTCGTCTGTTAGGTTACCAACTTTTTTTTGTTTTAATATTTCTGGTGCTGAAAGGTATATCTGTTAAGGTAGCGAAGAGTTGTAAAGGAGGAAAAATTTTGTTTTTGCGTTTTAATAGCAGTTTATGTGATTTTTTTTCGCTTCAACAAGCGTGGTTTTCCGTTATAGTTATCTAGACGGCATGTGGTTTAAATCACTAAATTCTCAACTAGTGGTTTGGAATTTAAGTGTTCTTTTTTGTTGACAATAAGAATTAATTTGCAGTTGGATAATCATAGTAGACTTCTGAAAGCTGCTGGCTAGTACAGTTAATAGAAGAAGCTAAGGTGTTTTTGTTACGGGATTGTTCCCCTCGTCAAAATAATTTTTCAATAACGGCTTTCGTAGCTACCACTTTTTTTTGAAGAACACTACTTTTTTTTACCAGATAACCAGTGTATGGTTCATTTTTTTCCGAACAGTATCTTAAATTTTAAGATTGTCATTATCGTGGCAGTCAGGCCTGAGCTTTGGTTTCAAAAAATTTTTGGCTTACTTTGCTAGCAACAGTACTTTCAGAAGTGAAGACAAAATCTTTTCTGACTGTGGCTGAATCTCGCAGCGTTATAGTTAATAATGTTTTGTCTTTTTTTCTTTTGTGTATGGCAGTAGTCTCACAGACTTATACAAAGATAGTTTGAATCTATAGGATCTTGGTGAGTGATAAAACAAGGACGCCAGCTTTCTTGGCGGGTACGAAAGTTGGACTTCTGGGTTTGTTTGGAGTAACAGTTAAAAACTATCTGGGAGCGAGATGTGTGTTTTAATCGGTTTTTTTCTTGTACGAATGGTGCATTATGCTTTATTAGTTGTTCCATGTAGTTTCTTACCGTTACTATGTACCAGTAAATTGAATAAAACATTTGGGAACCAAACGGTGGAAGTGTTGTTCATTTTCTGCGCAATTTTTTCTAGGTATTTGTTGAGTATTTCAGATGTTTTTTTTTTTTTAGATTTTCAATTTCGTTTGCTGACATTGAACAAACAATGTCTGAATAAGTTGGGTGTTTTTGCTGATAATTTTCGTTTAAACAGTAAGCAGCAACAGTGATGTAAGATATGGAAAAGCACCACTGGAATGACAAAGGATCTTTTGATTTGTCTCTTTTTCTGTCTACGCTGTTTGCAGTTCTTCATTCGGTTTTATCGAACGAAAAGTGTTTTTATGCTCAGGATTAATTTTTTACTGGTTGAGCTGTGAATATTTGACTTACAAATGGAAGCCAAAATACATTGGGGTTTATCATTGCTCA